CTGGGTCTGGGACCGACCCCTGCTGCAGCTCTGCATTTAGAGCATATTAGGTGCTGGGCAGGCAGGCAGCCCGGCTCAGTTCTGGCTCGCACCCGGTCTGAGAGCTCAGACACGCTCCCAGACAGGGGTTGCTTCCACCCTGTGCTGCTGCATCTGCATCAGAGGCAGCAGCCCAGGGCAACAGGCAGCTGGTCCGCGAGGAGAGCTAGTTTTTAAACTGGCTCCCCTCACAGACCAGCTCCCGCCTCTCACCCCATGCTGCTGCCTCTGATAGAGGCGCAGCAGCGCAGAGCAACAGGGGGCCCCTCAGGAGTGGGGCTGGAGCACACTGGCTACCGGCCCCACCCCTGGGGACTATAGAATAATCGAGTAACCAATAAGAATTCAGGAGGTTACTCGACTATTCAATTAACCGATATTTAACATCCCTAGTCTGCATATGAACTTGTAACCACAGAGAGCCCCTGGGCAGAGTTTGAAGGACCAATCCCTGCTGGAGCCCTTGTTGGAGCTGGGGGGTGTCAGTGCTAAGCTTATTAGCATGCGGGTAAGTTCTTGTATAGTTTTAATAGTTTTTCTCTGTGATGCTTTCTCTTTAAGAATAAATGTGCTTGCTTAGAAAGAGCAAATGCAGGCAATGGCACAGTTCACAGACTTAGACAAGAAAGCAAGGGCAGATATTGGCCCATTCATGCTGTCCGGCTCGCTGGGAATAGCGCAATGAGTGCTAAGCTTATTAGCATGCGGGTAAGTTCTTGTATAGTTTTAATAGTTTTTCTCTGTGATGCTTTCTCTTTAAGAATAAATGTGCTTGCTTAGAAAGAGCAAATGCAGGCAATGGCACAGTTCACAGACTTAGACAAGAAAGCAAGGGCAGATATTGGCCCATTCATGCTGTCCGGCTCGCTGGGAATAGCGCAATGTGGGCAGGAAACTAGGCAGCCAGGAAGACGCCGGATCAGGAAAGAGAGAAGACGAGGGTCTCCACCCAATAGAAGGGATGGCTGAGGACCGAGGACCAGAGCCTGGAATCATAGAATCGCCGAATCTGAGGGCTGGCAAACCTTGGGAGTCATTAAGTCCGGCCCCTTGCCCAAAGCAGGACCAACCCAACTCAATCATCCCAGCCAGGACTTTGTCGAGCCGAGACTTCAACACCTCTAGGGATGGAGATTCCACCCCCCTCCCCAGGGAACCCAGCCCAGCGCTTCCCCACCCGCCTAGGGAAATTGTTTTTCCTAATCTCCAATCTAGACCTCCCCCACTGCAACTTGAGCCCATTGCTCCTTGTTCTGCCTTCTGCCCCCACTGAGACTAGCCTAGCTCCATCCTCTTTGGAACCCCCCTTCAGGTAGTTGAAGGCTGATGGCTGGAACCTCATTCTTCCCCAAATCCCTCCTCACCCTTCTCTTCTGCAGACTAAACAAACCCAAATCCCTCAGCCTCTCCTCGTAGGTCATGTGCTCCAGCCCCCGAATCATTTTGGTTGCCCACCGCTGGACCCGCTCCAATGCACCCACATCCTTCCTGTAGTGGAGGACCCAGAACTGGACACACTACTCCAGATGTGGCCTCACCAGAGCCGAATAAAGGGGAATAATCACTTCTCTACATCTGCTGGCAATGCTCCTCCTAATGCCCCCCAACATGCCGTTAGCCTTCTTGGCTACCAGGGCACCCTGTTGACTCAGCTCCAGTGTAATCCCCAGGTCCTTTTCTTCCAAACTGGTTAACTAGTTCACCCGTTAAGCGGTTAGCCTTTCACATCCCGCCTGGAGAGTGCTCCATGCCCCTTGAATGGCCTTGAACGGAGCTAGAGTGAGCAAGGTGCTGCGGACCTCCTGGAAGGAGATGAGCCCCCTCCGCTCCATGTGCAGGTGGTGAGGCAGGGGGTGCTTCCCAAAGCCAGGCCCCAGGAGGCCTGTCGGAAGAAGCATTTCACAGCAGGACTCCGCCCTGGTTCTCGCAGGACAAGGGCGGGAACGAGGGCGATGGGGGGAAGGTCTGCACACACGCAAGAAAAGGACTTCAACTTGCATCCCAGCACACTTCGGACCCTTGGAGAGCTTTGCACTCAGCTGGAGGAAGGGAACGCCGCTCTCCAATGCTGCGGAGACCAAACCCCACCCTCGAATCACTGGTTACCCCGTGACAAATGCTAAAAGCCGTTTCCTAGAGTAACTCCTCCAGAATCACGTCTGCCGACGGAGAGCGTGGCTCCCTGGGAACCAACCATAGACTTGTGATCAAGGGCCGTTTATTTTGACGCACAGACTGCAAAGGGGAGGGTTGTGTTTAGACCTGGGTGGGGAAACCTAAGGCCTGGGGCTCAGAGCCAGCCCCCCTCCGCCTCCCCTGCAGCATTGGGGAGCCCATGCTGGCATTTCAGCCCCTTGCCATCCTCCTGTGGGGCTGGAGCACACAAAATCTACTAGCCCGGCCCCCAGGCTCTAATGGGGAGAGTCTTTCCCCTCAGTGGGGGCCACCTCAGTGAGGGGTTTTTTTTCTTGTGTGTGGCCCGCCCCCCACTGATTTTTCTGGGGGTCAGTGTCCCCTGACCCAGAAAAGTTCCCTGCCTTTGATTTAGCTGATTCTTTCTTGTGTGTACAGGTCTTGTCCCTCCCCCATGCCCTGCACCAAGGTCACACCGGTCAGCCGGTGAACCTACTCCCCCGTGTCTAGTTTTTCTCGGTGCTGCCGCTGCCTCAGTTGACAAGACCCGTGCCACTAGAGTCATGTCTGAAACGAGGCAATCAAAGGAATCGAGGTGCAGAGGGGCAGGGAGTTTAGACAGCAAGTCGGAGCCACGACATCCACCGGACACCCACGGCAGTTGGGGGACCAGCGTGGTCCTCAACAGGGCTTAAAGGGGGAAGGAAGTGGCTGGGGGAATGGCAGCGCAGAAAACCGCTTGCCTGGAGGCTTTCCTGGCTGCTCCCATTGGCTGGAATCACAGCCAATGGGAGCAGCAGGGGGTGGTGCCTGGGAGCAGTGGGAGGCACGGAACCAGGGAAGCAACTCCCATCCCTCTCCTGCTGAGACTTCACACCCCCACCCTCAGCCTGCACCTACGTCCTACCTCCCGGCCAGTCCCCCACCCCAGCCCTCCTGCACCCATTTGGTCATCATGGCTGGTTGGCGGGTGGTTCATGGAGAGGTCTGTATTGAATTTAAGGACCCCTGCTCTGGGCTGACCGAGCAGTCAGAGGGAAACTGAGTCTCCTTGGCCCAGTCCATCGGGTTCTCTGGAGGCCAGTGACCTCCCTCCCACATGCCCCTTTCTCCAGGGCTCATGCTCGGGACTGGCCGATGACACCAGGTGGGTGCAAATTTGGTGGCTTGACTTCAAGGTCCCACAGGGGTCCTCTTTGGAGTGACACATGCCATGGAGAAGCAATTCCTCTGTCTCAACCTCAGCCCTGCCCCGAAGCCCACAGCATTATTCTGGGGCGCGATCGAGAGCCAGGCTTCCATTACCCACAGCATGGCCACCCTCTCCCCAGCTGCTTTCTGTCGGTCTCCCGGGGCCTAGTCAGCCCCGACACCCACATGGTTTGCCCCAACAGGGCACCGACCAAGGACCTCCGCTAGAACCAGGCTTCCCATGTCAAGGAAGCAGCTACGCTTTGCTTTCCTTCCTGGCCAGCCCTCCTTGTGGGGATCATAGAATCATAGAATACTAGGACTGGAAGGGACCTCGAGAGGTCATCGAGTCAGTCCCCTGCCCTCATGGCAGGACCCAGTGCTGTCTAGATCATCCCTGATAGATATTTATCTAACCTACTCTTCAATATCTCCAGAGATGGAGATTCCACAACCTCCCTGGGCAATTTATTCCAGTGTTTGACCACCCTGACAGTTAGGAACTTTTTCCTAATGTCCAACCTAAACCTCCCTTGCTGCAGTTTAAGCCCATTGCTTCTTGTTCTATCCTCAGAGGCCAAGATGAACAAGTTTTCTCCCTCCTCCTTATGACACCCTTTTAGATACCTGAAAACGACTATCATGTCCCCCCTCAGTCTTCTCTTTTCTAAACTAAACAAACCCAATACCTTCAGTGTTCCCTCATAGGTTATGTTCTCTAGACCTTTAATCATTCTCGTTGCTCTTCTCTGGACCCTCTCCAATTTCTCCACATCTTTTTTGAAATGCGGTGCCCAGAACTGGACACAATACTCCAACTGAGGCCTAACCAGCGCAGAGTAGAGCGGAAGAACGACTTCTCGGGTCTTGCTCACAACACACCTGTTAATGCAGCCCAGAATCATGTTTGCTTTTTTTGCAACAGCATCACACTGCTGACTCATATTCAGCTTGTGGTCCACTATGACCCCTAGATCCCTTTCTGCCGTACTCCTTCCTAGACAGTCGCTTCCCATTCTGTGTGTGTGAAACGGATTGTTCCTTCCTAAGTGGAGACTTTGCATTTGTCTTTATTGAACTTCATCCTGTTTACCTCAGACCATTTCTCCAGTTTGTCCAGATCATTTTGAATTACGACCCTTCCTCCAGAGCAGTCACAACCCCTCCCAGCTTGGTATCATCTGCAAACTTAATAAGCGTATTTCTATGCCAATATCTAAATCGTTGATGAAGATATTGAACAGAGCCGGTCCCAAAACAGACCCCTGCAGAACCCCACTAGTTATACCTTTCCAGCAGGATTGAGAACTGTTAATAACTACTCTGAGTACGGTTATCCAGCCAGTTATGCATCCACCTTATAGGATCCTGTGGCCTTCCTGGGACGCTGGTTCCGGCACTTCGTTAGTGAGAAAGTTTTCCCAAGTTTCTCACCCACGTCTCCCTTGCTTCGCACGAAGCCGATTCCTCCTCGTCTTACCCCAGTGGGCCTGGAGAATGGTTGGGCCACCGTCCTCCTGAGAGCAGCCTCTTCGGTCCCCTTCTCTTCTCTGGACTAGCCCATGGGCGGATGACGTCACAATGGCCTCCAGCCGTCCTGCCCCGGGCTGTGAGCTCATCAGAGCTCACAAGCCAGGCGCAGCAGATGATCCCCAGGAATCCAGCGCTGCTGCTGGAACATCAGCAGCCCCTCCCGAGGCCGCAGGGGGCAAGGCCACCAACAGGACCTGGGGCAGCATTTTGGGAAGCTCGTGTCACCCAGCCTGGTCCCTCACCAATGCCCTGATGGTGCAGGAGGTTCGGGCACCCCACGCGCACCAAAGCCACCGTCCAGCAGCATGTTCGAACTTGAGCTCTCCGAAGAACCAGGCGAGGAGAAGGCGGCCGCGGTCCTCCCGGCCGCCTGCATGCAGCAGCTGGCCAGCAGCAATTGGAAGGAGAGGTTCTCCGGCTTGGAGGCATTTCAGAAGGCGGTGGAAGAAATGGAGAAAAGCCAAATGCCCTGCCAGGCCTTGGTGAAGCTGCTGGAGAAGGAGCCGGGCTGGGAGGAAACCAAGCTCCCCGTGCTGCAGAAAAAACTCCACCTCGTCGCCCTCATTGCCCGGAAGGGAGACTTTTCCCGGGCGTGCGCTCAGGTGGTCTTGCCTGGGCTGGTGGGGAAAGTGGGGGACGTGATCTGCGGCGGGGAAGCCAAGGGAGCCCTCACGGCCGTCGCCGAGGCGTGTGCCCTGCCGTGGACTGCCGGGGAGGTCACCTCCCTGGCTTTCTCGCAGAAGCATCCCAGGACCCAGGCGGAAGCCCTGAACTGGCTGGCGAAGGCTGGCTGGAGGTGGAAGCCTTGGTCAGTACCATAAAGGGGGCCCTGGCCTGCGTTCACCCGGACGTTCGGGCCTCTGCCTTTGCGCTGCTGGGGACCGTTTCGCTCTACGTGGGGGCCCCTCTCAGAGGGTTCTTCGAGGGCGAGATGCTGCCCCTGCTCTCCCAAATCGATGCTGAGCTGGAGAAGATGAAAGGGCAGAGCCCCCCTGCTCCCACCCGGGGCAGCTCCAAGCTCTGCCGGGGGAGTGGGGACGAGGGGAAGGCAGGGGACCCGCAGGGCCACGGTGGGGCTGAGCTCGTGGATATCCGCCCCAGGATCACCTCAGCGCTGGTGGCGAAGATGCAGGCCAGGAACGGGGCGACCCGGCAGGAGGGCCTGGAGGAGGTGGCGGGCATCCTCAGCAGCGCCGGGCGCATCCAGCCCCACGTGGGAGACCTCCCCGCTGCCCTGAGGGCTTGCCTTCAGGACCCCGACCCCGCCCTGGTGCAGCAGACCTTGAGCATCCTCCGGAGCCTGGCTCCTGCCATGGGCCCGGGCATCAGGCAGCAGGTGAGGGGGCTGGGCCTCCCCTTGGTCGCCCTCTTCAGAGACAGCAAGAGCCACGTGCGCGCCGTGGCCCTGGTGGCCGTGAACGCCTGGGCCGAGCAGCTCAGCACGCAGGACTGGCTGGAGGGGGAGGCCTCCGGGGAGGAGCGGAGGGAGGGAGACGCTTTCCAAAGGCAAGAGCTGCTGGGCTGGCTGGCGGAGAGGCTGCCGGCTCTCCGGGCCGCCCCCTCAGACCTGCGGCGGGGCGTCCCTCACCTCTACGCCTGCTTGGGAGACGGCAACGGCCACGTACGGAAGGCGGCCCAGGAAGCCCTGCCCTTCTTCATGATGCACCTGGGGTCTGAGGAGATGGCCGACGCCGCAGGCCAGCTCAAGCCGGCGACCAGGGACCACGTCGTGGCTTTGCGGGAGGCAGCCACCGCCAACCCACCAGCCAAGCCCCCCGGGCCTGCTAAGTTGCCTTCCCGGCTGCCACGGGTCACAGCCATCCCGGCCTTCACCTCAGCCTCAGCCTTGTCCCACCAGGCCCCGGCCTCTCCGTCCCCAGCCCCTCCTGGAGACGCGGTGCCCGGCAGTACCCCGGCACAGAAGCCTCGGCCCAAAGACGCCACCGCAGGCTCAGCGGCCGTGAGCGTCAGAGGTGGGCCGGAGGGAGGCAAAGCGCCACTAAAGGCCAGCCAGAAGGACGGGGCCAACAAGCCGAGTCCCATTTTTATCATCGTCCCCCATGGGAAAGAGCAGAGGGCGAAGGACGAGAGAGGGCGGAAGGTGCTGAGGTGGAATTTCGCCGCCCCCAGCCCCAAGTACACGGAGCAGCTGAAGGCTCAGATGGGCCCCTGCGTGTCCAGTTGGCTGCAGGAGGAGCTGTTTCATTCCAGCTTCCAGCACCACATCAAAGCTTTGACCGTCCTGGCCAAGCACCTGGAGGAGGAGAAGGACGGGGTCATCAGCTGCCTGGACCTGATGCTGAAGTGGATCACGCTGCGGTTCTTCGACAACAACACCTGGGTGCTGACCAAGAGCCTGGAGTACCTCAAGCTGCTGTTTGCCGTGCTGCGCCGAGAGAAATACCAGCTGACCGAGAACGAGGCAGCCTCCTTCCTCCCCTACATGGTCATGAAGCTGGGCGAGACCAAAGAGGTGATCCTCAGGGAGGTGCAGGCGGTTTTGAAGAGGGCGTGCTGGGTCTACCCGGCTAAGAAGATGTTCAGCTTCGTCATGGAAGGGGTCAGGTCCAAGAGCGCCAAGCAGCAGGCGGGGTGCCTGGCGCAGTTGGGCTACCTGGTCCAGGCGTACGGCGTGGACGTGTGCCAGCCCAGCCCGGCCAAAGCGTTGAAGGCGATCGCGGCCCTCCTCGGAGATCAAGATGCCGCCACGCGCACCGCGGCCTTGAATGTCATCGTGGCGGCTCACCGCCTGCAGGGGGAAAGGGTGCTCAAGCTGACTGGGAATCTCTCCGAGAAACACATGAGGCTGCTAGAGAAAAGCCTGGAGCAGGCAGCTGACAGGCCGGCAGGTTCGCGGGCGCCCCAGGCCCAGGAGAGACGGACGCATGTTCTGAGCAGCAATGGCCGCCGGGGGACAGCGGCCGAGCCCAGCTGTGCCTACAGCACGGGGGCGGACGTAGAGGCGACACAGGCAGCCC